TGTTTTTATATTGGCTGAATAAAGATACAAGTTAAAAAGAATCTTAGATTTCACAAACAAATTGTCTATTTCTAGCCATTTAGGAGGAGCGTTTGTCGAAAAATGGAACATTAACGCCTTTAACTGGGATGCCCAATAGTATAATTGAATATTTGGGAGTTTTAATCCTCCCCTATCATATGACAGGTAAAGCAAAGATGTCCGGACTCTTGGATGTTTATTATGCCATTTTATATTATTATATGTTCTTGGTGTGAACGGGCCTTTACTGACCCCAAACGTTTGAATGGTAGTTTATGTTTATTATCAAATTTCTGTGATGAATGTGCATTTGTACATATTCAATTTTTTTTGTACAGATTAACATCTAATACTACAGTAACTAAAGTATACATAAAATAAGTTGCATCTTTCTTTTCTAAACCCAGGGCAACCACTTACTACCTGGCTGACCGCAGGTATGACATGCTGCCAGCAGTTCTGAGTGCTGATCTGTGCTCCCTCCTTGGAGGAGTGGACCGGTGAGTTACACTTTTTGAGACTTAAAAAGTGACCTAATATGCTGCTGGAATCTGTGGATTTTCTCTCCGTATTCTTTAATAGAAAATAACAGGAAATCACTTTGTGGTATGTTCCAGATATGCCATGAGTGTGCTGTGGGAGCTGGATGCTGAAACTCTGGATGTGTGTACAGTTTGGTACGGACGTACTCTAATCCGCTCATCCTATCAGCTTTACTATGAGATGGCCCAGAGTCTGCTGAATGGCGAGGAGGTTGAGGTACCTGAGCTAAGCCAGCTCAAGGGTTCACAGCGAGACCAGAAACTGGCTGAACTCTTGCAGGCCCTAGAGACCCTGACGAGGGTGACCAGACACCTCCGTGCACAGAGAGACAAGGGTGGTGCTCTGGAGTTGGAGGGGGTGGAGGTGAGGGCTCAGCTGGATGAGGAGAAGAACATTACAGCTCTTGTTCCCAAACAACCTCTGGAAGTTCATGAGACTGTGGCAGAGTGTATGATCTATGCCAACCACTGGGTGGCACGCAAGATACAGGAGAGCTTTCCACATCAAGCTCTCCTGCGTCATCACCCACCACCCAAACAGGAGTTCTTCAATCACCTCATCAACTGTGCCAAGGCCCGTGGCTTCAGTATTGATACAAGGTAAAAATAATTTTTAGATTTTCTTGAAATAAATCACCAAGGCTGTATGTATTTGATCAAAAATAGAGTACAAACTGTAATATTGTAAAACAGGGGTGCCCAAACTCGGTCCTGGAGGGCCGGTGTCCTGAAGAGTTTAGCTCCAACCCCAATTAAACACACCTGAACCAGCTAATCAAGCTCTTACTAGGCATACTAGAAACTTGAAGGCAGGTGTGTTGAGGCAAGTTGGAGCTAAACTATGCAGGACACCGGCCCTCCAGGACTGAGTTTGGGCACCCCTGTTGTAAAACAACTGTCTGAATTTTCAGCAGCCATAACTTCAGTCTTCAATGTCCTTCAGAAATCCTTCTAATACACTGATTTGGTGTTCAAGAAACCTTTCTTATTATTATCAGTGTTGAAAACAGTTGTTCTGCTTAATATTTTTGTGAAAACCATGATCAATTTTTTTCAAAAGAACAGCATTTATTTGAAAAATACATCTTTTGTAACATTTTAAATGTCTTTACTGTTGCTTTCGATTAGTTGAATTAATTCTTGCTGAATACAAGTATTTTCTTTTTATATTACGGACTCTAAACATTTGAACAGTATTGTATATCTAAATAAAGACAGAACCAAAATAAATGGTAAATGTAATCGAATCATAATATAATCAGTATGTTCGGAGATAGATTGCATGCATGTGTTTATATTTACGTGTGTCTGCATTGCTTCATCTAGGTCAAACAGAGCTCTTGCTGATTCTCTGGAACAAGCTGTGGATCCTCAGGACCCCCTGGTGAACAAGTTAATAAGAATGATGGCCACCCAGGCAATGACTAATGCCCTTTACTTCTCTACAGGAGCCTGCCCAGAAGAACAGTACTATCACTACGGTACATGCTTTTCATTCTGTTATCATTACAGATCATTTGTAATCTCATTATTACAGATGTTCATTTAAGCAGAGTAGCTGGTTGCTCAGTGTTGTCACTGCTATAGGCCAAATTTTTGTAGTAGTAGTATGAATAAACATTCTACCATGATTTAAAGCAATAGTTCACCCAAAAATGAAAATTTCGTCCTCATTTACTCACCCTCATGTCATTCCAAACCTGTATAAGTTTCTTTCTTATGTTGAGACACAAAATAAGAAATTTTGAAGAACCAAACAGTTGTTGGACCCCATTGACTTCCACAGCAGAGAAAGAAATACTATAAAAGTAAATGGGAACCATCAACTGTTTGATTGCCAGCATTCTTCAAAATATCATCTTTTATGTTCAACATAAGAAAGAAACTCATACAGGTTTGGAACGACATGAGTAAATGACAAACTTTTCATTTTTGGGTGAACTATCCCTTTAAGACCGCAATTGACATAGTGGCGTTTGGGTAAATTTGCTTGCTAGAACTAAGAAAAAGATGAAAGCATAAATCCGTTCTTGCTGTTTATGTCATTTTCAGGTCTTGCTCTGGATCGATACACTCACTTTACCTCTCCAATCAGACGCTATGCTGATGTATTAGTTCACCGGCTGCTCATGGCTGCTATTCAGCTGGAGAAGGAAGGATCACTAAGTAAACCCTTGGCCAGTAACAAAGAACTCGAGGAACTAACTCAACATATCAACAACAAAAACAGAGTAAGTGGGAGCCATTAACTTTTGTATCAATACTTCATTGTAGTAAAATAATTGTAGGGAAATGACCTCAACACTTTTTTTTCTGTGTTTGTGTGACAGGCAGCACAGCAAGCACAGAAGCAGTCCACAGAGCTCTTCCAGTGCCTCTACTTCAGAGACAAAGACGCCAAAACAGATGAGCGCTGTGTGGCTGATGCTGTGATCTATGCTGTCCGAGCTAATGGCTTTCTTGCCTTCATACCACAGTAATGACTGCTTATGGAATATTACTTAGTGTCTGTGCCAAAGAAAATTTTACACACAAAAAATTAAGACAAGTGTACACTACTATGCATACTATGCATGCACACTCTTATGTTATTTGATCAAAAATGCATTATTGTGAGAGATAAATGTAAAATAATGTCTTCTATTTGAATACATTTTAAAATGTAATGTATTCCTGTGGAAAGTTGAATTTTTAGCAGCCATTACTTCAGAAATCATTCTAATATGCTAATTTGGTGCTCAAGAAACATTTCTTATTATTACTAGTGTTGAAAACAATTATGCTGTCTTTCTTTGATGAATAGAAAGTTTAAAAAACAGCATTTATTTGAAATAGAAAGCTTTTGTAACAATGTTTTGTAACAAGTTAATGCTGAATAAAAAAGGGAATACAAAATAATGATCTTTAAAAAAGCGTCATATGACCCCTTTAAACAAAAACATCTTACTGACCCCAAACTTTTGAATGAAAGTGTATGCCAAAAGTAGCTCCTGCATATAATGTGGACATGATTGCTGTAACACTTATCTATTCACACAGGTATGGTGTGAAGGGAGCTCTGTACCTTAAGGATCGAGAGGGTCAGGTGGTCAGTGTCGATGGCGATGGAAGGTGCGAGTGGAAGGCTGGGACATTGCAGAAATACTCTGACAGGATCAGCAGCTGCACAAGCACTGGAACTCATACATTTTACATCTTCAGCCACGTTACAGTAAGTATATTGCCATAAAACAACAAAAATCACATCATTTGTGGCACCTTTATTTGGACTATCATAGATGTGTGTCTGCTACATCCTCTAACATGTTTTCTTTCTTTCTTTTGTGCCTGTCTTCCTCTGCAGGTTCGTATTTCTGTAGAACCGTCCCGTTGCCATGCTGACAGCTTGTGTCTGGAGCTTATCAGCAACAAGCCCCATTGCCCTGTGCAACCCGAGTCACAGCCAGCTGGTCGCGGTCGGTCTGAGCTGGTTCAGGAGGTGGTGCGCTGGGCAGAAGAGGCCTCCCTCCAGGCGGAGGAAGAGAGGGGGAGGAAGCCCAAACTGAGCAGGGAGGAGAGGCAGTTCAGACAGAGCAGAACACCAAACCTCTATGTCCTGTTACAGGAGATCAGTGAACTTGCTCTACTGGATCTGTCTGTCTGTCAAATCAGAAATACAGAGGAACAGACCTGCACTGCATCTTCTTAGCCCTTTACTGCTATTTCTACAATTGATTAGTGAGCTTTAGGGATGTTTTTGTAATATTTGTCATGGACTTCCATTGAAGTGTCCAGATGTGACCTGACAAAAATGAGTTACACTTACTCAGGACTTATGAACACTGGTTTCTTTGCTTTGTCCAATACATGATTTCTTAAGTGAAAGTTGGTCAGGTTCTTCACCTTAAGTTTCCTGTGAAGTCAATGGCTTTATATTTGAAGACCAGCTTTTCGACTGCAGATACACTCAAGGCATCATCTTCCTGTGTTGTCAAGTTTTCATTTGAAATGAAATACATTATTTAAGAGAAACCAATATGTAACCTAAATATAGTTTGAAGCAGGCTTATAGATTTCCATGCTTTCCATTTAGATCATGTAAAAATAATGATATAAATATTTTTGGAAATAGTATTTTTATGATCCATGTTTCCTTTTCTTCTATGATGCTACAGAATTAAAGTACGAGACTCTTAAGCAGCTCTGCTACAGGCTGGAATACATGTTTGCCCTAATTAAAAAAACTAGTTGCACATTATCAGTCTTGAGCTAAAAATTATTTTTGTTATGTGTCTCCTAGCAACAAGGCAGATATTTATTTTGTGCTGGGAATGACTTTAAATGGCATTGTGTGAGCCTTGGTCATTTAGTGTATGACGCCTAGTGTTTTAAAATCTGTTCAGATTGTAAGTCATATACTTCAAAATATAGGTCTACACAAATCTCAACACACATAAATGGTTTTCTACATTAACATTTTTATTCAGAAAAAAATAAAATAATGTACACTGAAATAACAGGGATAAACATAACAGTAACATTACAAGGTGGTGACAAACTGACATTTACAAAAAAAAAAAACCCTCAAAGGCTCACTTTTTTTCCTGCAGTATTGTGTGCTTACATTGGGACATTATAATAAACTTCAGCCAAGTGGCGATTTTATTCTCAGGTTCACAGAGATTACTGTGAACCTATGAATAAAATGAAGGAAAATGTTTTCAATATGAGCAAATATATTCCAAAAACCTCAGAGGATGAAAGAAATGACATGACAAAATGCAAGCAAACTGAACTAGATTAATGTGTGTATAAGATCATTGTGGTGAACAAGCCCTGGGTTGGCATTACAAAACATGCCAACAAGCTGCAAAAGGTATTTGGTATATGACTGGGAAGAGGTTAAACATGGAAAAGCCCATCTGATTGCAATTGCCCTTCCCAAAAACACTCAATTTATTCACAGTCCCCTTGGTACAAACGGGGAGGATTGGTTCAATTGCTATCATCATCATCGTCAACTATGCCATTTGGAACTGGACTAGCACACTCATTATCATATAAAGGGGAATTCTGAAGCGCAGCTGACTTTTGTTTGAGTGGCGTATGGGCTGAGGTGCTCTGATCGAAAGTGCCCTGATTCTCTTGACTGAGGAACTGTCCTGAAGAACTGGTTGATGGTTCATCTGCATCTGCCTGGATGGAATTCTGTGAGGATTCTGGGGGGAAAAAAGTATCAAATAGTGATACAAAAACTAGACTCACGCAGCTGAATCTATATGCATAACAGTGGACCCAGATTTTTTGCAGGACTATAGGCAAATGAGAGAACTTTCATTCTAATCATAACACACCATACAAACACCCACATGATGGTGATGACATTAATGGCTCCACACACCTAACTGTTTCTGCTTCGCAAGTCTCCTCTCCAGAGCCAGCTGTTTGTTGAGCTCTATGCGCTGCTGCTGTTCCTCCGTGAGAGAGGCTGGAGCAGGAGTAGAATGGACAAACGGGTCTTCAGGGAAACCTTCGTCTCCAACTGGATCAGACTCTTCCGGTACTCGAACCTCAGCATCCTCTGAAGGGGAGTAGAAAGTCAATGAATTTATACCTGCTGCTTTAAATAGTAATACAAGACAGCCAAAAGTTAAAGTATCATTACCAACGTAGTCCTCATGTGTTATTGGCATGTCCAATCGAATTCGTTTCAGACATGTCTAATGGAGAAACAAAGTAAAGCATTAACAAAGGATGCAGACGACTTCCATTAAGGATGTACAATAGCACACATTGAGGGCTTTTAAATGAGGTCCATACTTCCTAGATTAAATATCGTATTCAAACAGGATTCATTCTTGCGTTGATTAAACAGAAGGCATTTATATGTTCTTTAAATCCCATGTACTGTTGTTAATGTTAAAGCACACATTTAACACTAAAAACATGAAAATCATGGTGTGGCATAAAGACAAAAAACAGCGACACATGGTGCAACAGCCTAAGACAATTGTCTAGTGCATGTGTACATAGAGCAACATTTAAAATCGACTGGCTGGATATGACCTGAGTTTGAGTACCACACATGGTCTTTTCCTCCCCTCTCTTATCACTTCCTGTCACCACTTCTACTGTCCTATCATAAAGGCATAAAAGCCAAAAATATAACTTTTGCCAAGTATATACACAAAAAAGCAGACAAATTAAATTACATGAAAAAAAATAGCACAGAGAACAAATCCTGAGTGAGCGGCCCCTAGTTAAGCTTGAATTTGCCTCAAGATAAAGTGTTCTTTTGCATTAGTGCCAGACATCTTACCTGAACTTCTTTTTTACCGCCCAGACTCTCCACTTTATCAATGAACTCCTCAAACTGCATTTTAGGATATAGGCGATGGGCCCAGTTTTCCATTTTCTGCAAAAGGAGCTTCAGATTCTCTGCCTGAATCAAAAATAAATGAAGAGGGTGCACACTGACAACTGTATTCACATCGACTCATTTATATACAGAAATGTTAGAACAACGGCACCTGAATTCAGGAGTATTTCAATATTTCACACACAAATGGTGAGGATGAATTGAAAAATGAGCAATTACCTCATGCCCTTTGCCTTTGAACTTAACATCTTCAAATAAAGTACGCAAAGCTGGAAGACCCTTCTCAGAAATCAACCTAAAAGAGAGAAGAGATGAAGGAGGTGGTGAACTGTAAACACTGGAGAAACTCAAGTCAGATTTATTTATAGCACCTTTCATAATAAATATTGTTTTAAAGCAGTTAGAGAGAAAATCATGATGCTAATGTTTACAATATCTTAATTTTGTAATATATTTTACATTTTGTGATGATACAAGCAATAATGCAGATTAAAAATGCTACATAGTATATTAGAGCTATATAAAGAGCTGGGTGATAATATCACATGGTTACATTTTACAATTAAAAAAAATCAGGTTGCTGAGATTTGCTATACATTATATATACCCACTATATGTATGCAGATAGATACATTTGGAAATAATATATCTAACTTTATATACAGAACTGTGCAATAATACAGTTTACATTTTGTGACAAAAACCATCATGCAGCCAATAATTGCTATATAGTACATATTGCTTTTTGGGAGTATACTGTATGAGAAAGTAGGATGTTAATTCAAACACAGACTGTCTGCTAAAACAAACTAATTATTATAAGTAATTATCAATTAACTGGCATCTGGTTCAGTACCTGTTTGCATCCAGTTTAGGCTGAGGCCTCTTCACTGTTCGTCTTTTTGCCACTGGCACTTCTGCTAGTTTTGACACTTCTCCTTCCTCCTCACCTAAACATGTAGCATGGGAACAGCTCACATTACTATAGCATCAATTGGACAAAGATTCTTAAAGATTGTGTGCACTTATAGCATAGGAGCACCATGAAAAACAGACCCTCTCCATTGCCAAAAGGATCCTCCTCGATGTCTCCTTGACCAGGCGATGGAGGAGGAGGGAGAGGAGGGAATCTCTCGTCCTCTATGTGCTCATAATCTGGAATGTCAGAGTCATTTTCTAACGGATCGAGCATGGTGCACGTGATCCTGTAGAGATAGGAGCATAGGATCAATTCTACAACACAATTCCACTTTCAGTGGCGTTCAAGTAAATTATTGGCTTCAATGACTTCAATGTTAAAAAAAAAACACTTATTTTTGCAGTATGTTTAAATAGACGGTCGAGTATGCGTTGCACGCTATATTCATCCAAACAATGTCACGGACTCATTTATGAAAATAATGAAGTTTATGGGTTTAAAAAAATAGTCTGAAAAGTACATAAACTGTACAAAACAATGGTACATGATTTAATTATCGGAACTAATCCTTATATTAGCACACCTAGCGCACATACAATCATAGAAATGAACAGATTAACGTAAACGTAACGTTAGAGGAGAGCTGTTTGTTACGGTCACATAATTTTGGCGCCAGACAATGTCATTCCGCACATCGCCCTCGGTTTCGCCCGTGTCTGGATATCAAGCCCAACCGATGTCACTGTAATTTCAGTGCGGTCCACCGAACTTACTGAATAAATGCTGTCAAAGGACGAAACTTCAACACCGACCGCGGCACAAGATCATCAACACGGACCACAGCCAAAGTTTCCGGCGGCGGTGGCTTCTTCTTCTTCGGCGTTTATTGGCGGTTGGCAAACCAACTTGTAGGTGCATTACCGCCACCAACTGGACTGGAGTGTGGAACAGAATACGTGCTTATGGGATTGACAATGCGAGAAGGTGAGGGGAAAAAACAAAAAAACAAAAAAAAAATACAAATTGATAATAAAAATAAATACATAAAAACAGATTTTAATAAAAAAAAAATTAAATTCTTTAAATTCTTTTACTTGCCTTCGTTTCTTTAATAAACTTAATGATGCAATCATATATAGCCTTTTCCCCTAGAATACCAGTTATAGAGAAGTCTTTGTGATCAACCTTCTTTAATGACTGAATAAAATGGCATCTTTCTTTGTTGTATTTCCTGCAATGAAGCAGTACATGTTCAACTGTTTCTTGCTGACTACAATAAATACATTCCCCAGTTGAGTGCTTGCCAATTTTAAACAATGTACTATTAAGTCCTGTGTGACCTATTCTCAGACGAGTTATAATATTCCCTTCCTTACGGTTCCTGCTCTCCCTCCTCCCAGCACAAACTTGTTTTTGTATATTATATAAATGTCTACCTGTTTCAATACCATCCCAATATACCTGCCATACTGATTGTGCATATTTCCTGATGTATGCTTTAGCTTCTGCTTTACTTAATGGAACTTGTAGATCAACCTGATGCAACAGCCGGTCACTGGCAGTCCCTTATGAAAATTAACCTAGTTTTACTAAAGTTTTACTAAAGTGACCGTAGTTCAACTGTAGTATTTGTAGATTTGAATCATGTGTAAACAAAAAACATATTTGAACCATGTGTAAACAAAAATATAACCTAATAAGTTACAATTAAGGCGTATTGAATGTTAAAATGCGTTTTAAACAAAGTTAAGTGCTTATCATTACCCATTTTACTCTTAGTAATTCAATAATTTAATACATTTCATAATTTAAAAGTTTAGTTCAGAAGTATCGAATCGGTATCGACGATACTGCCTTGAAAAATATCGGTATCGTATCGAAAACAAAATAAGTGGTATCGCCCATCCCTAATTGATATGCCCCTAACCTTTAAATCTTCTTCTTCTTCTTTGGAATTTTTGGCGTACTCCGCACTGTAGGCACATACCGCCACCAACTGTTTATATACATACATGGATGATAGTCCCGTCTCTATTCATATTTTATTTTATTGTTCATTTTATTTCGGGTTCACCCAAGCTGTATTTCTAGCTGCTGCGTGTTCAGCTCCCATGCTTGTGTGTTCCTCTATTCCTTTGCTTTATTTATTTATTTAACTATCAAATTCGTTTGTTTAATCCTGTTTCTACTATATATTTCATTACTATTCTTTGATTAATACCTTCTTTTAATCCTTTTCCTAATATCCAATTTATCTTCTTTTTTTCTTTATTATTACCTTTTAAGTTCTTTATCATTTTAATTCTCTCTATATTTCCGACATTTCTGCATGTGTTCTGACAAATAATGCTACCTATCAGATTATGCTACCAACACTGTATTTATCCTACTGTAAGCGTAGGTTTAGGGTTGGGGTAGGTGTACATGTTAATAAAGCCTCACACCTTATTAATATCATGCTTGCGGCTGAGGCTGAGGCTGCTCTCGTGGCTGAGGAGAACTGCGACGTCTACCGGCGCGGAGAACTGGAAATACAGACTTTCACAACAAAATTCTCATACAAAACGGAAAAAGTTTTGCCTGAGTTTACAGAGGTAGACACATCAAAATACCAAAACAAGTATAATGCAGGTTTTCAAACTTTATTGAAAGCACAGATCTCATACACGTGGACCTTAATACTGCAATGTATGTATGTATTGGTAGGTTGTAGTCCCGCTGAATTTCAGTATTTTAAAAGGTTTCACAAACAGTTATTATGGTATTTATTTTATTGTCTGTTTGTTTGCCACATATCCAAACACCATTGTTAATAGGGTTACATAACTGCTTTCAAAAAGTTTCAGAAACTTCCATCTAACTTTTCTCACTTCATAATCAAGCACCCAAACCTCAACTTATCCTCTGAGTAATTTGTTGAGAGTTGTTTCATGAATTGTTCCAACAATTCATGAACACAGATGTACATTTGTGGACCATTTTGTTTGAATTTACATGTAAACAAGTCTCGGCATGTCATCGTGATTAATGATAATCAATAAAAAAAGAGAAGGTACAGACACATGCAATGTGAAAAAACATAGTTGTGTAAATGTGAAGCAGTCTGTTTTATATTCGTGTTCTAAGCAGGAACATGAGAAAAACTGCACTGAGGAGAATGCAGAGAGTGCACACAGTGGGGACGACAATCTCTGTGACCATCTCCATGTGGCTGATCAGTGGATCTGGAGAAAAACAAGTCAGCAAGTCAGTGACAACTAATAAAAGATGCATTCAGTGAAAACATAAAAGGTATTCGAAAATCGCACTAGCACTGGACAGAAAACATATGAAACATGACATCCTCAGCCCCTGTACCTAAACTTCATCATGCACAGGCCAAACCTTTGGCATAGCTGCATGTTCCTTATTTTCCTTGGACTTTCTTCTAGCTGAAAGGGCAAACAAAAGAAAATTCCTGTTAGAAAGTTACCATATAATTTCCTTCTCTATATATATTGTGCTTGGTTATAAATAGAAAATGTAATTTGTGACAGGATTTTCTTTTCTTTGCCCCAGCTAGATCAATGGATCATTACCCTTATGTAACCCCTGTGCTGCCCAGTGGGGAGTGAAGTCAGCAACAGTTACACTAACCTGCCGCAAGGAGCTGGTTGCTTGAGGTGCATGTTTCCAGTGCCTTTCTTTTCCAGCTTTCGATCTGTGGTAAACATTATCCAGTTTAAATTCATAAGATGTAAACTGAGACATAATATAAAGACATAATATATATTTATCACACAGATTGCACAAAAAATGCTAAGACTCTTGTACACTTTGACTCAAATTAAAAAAAATTTAAAATTAATTTAGCATACAATTTTATTGCTAAACTCACTGAAGTCCTACCTCTCTCTGATTAGGGAAACCATTCGAGCTGATGATGCGCTTGTAGTACTGAACTGATGCTTTGGGGTAGCGTGGTTTATTTTTGCTGCCAAAGTCCACGTAGTACAGGCCAAATCTTTCAGAGTAGCCCTCATCCCACTCAAACTTGTCAAGCAATGACCAAGCTGTGTAGCCTTTCACATTCACTCCATCTTTAACTGCTGAATGAAAAAAACAAAAAGGTTCCTTTGAGTGGTTGTATAGACTTTATTTATCAACGTATAAAGAGAATTATGATTTGGAGCTCTGTAGAACTCTTGTGTTTGAAAGAAAGTATTTTATAGACCACTATCAGTCATGCTCAGTCTGTAATCAAGTTTCTGTCAATTTTGATTTGCGTGTTCTGAATGTTTTTGTGACTCAGGTCGAATGGCTCAATTTATGCAGTCTGTTCTAAAACAGTGGTTCACAACTTTTTTGACTGAAAGGCCTCCCATTTTCCAACTCAATATCCATAGTCCTTCCATGACCATCACAGTGGTTAAAATATTTCCTCTGATATTTCTGCTGAAGGTATTACAATGCTGACTGTTTGACAATGTTTTCAAATCTTTTTATTAACAGTAACTGGGAGTGTTGAAATGAATTATACACAATTCTAAAGTTTTTTCTATAAAAATAGTCTTTGATGGGAAAAAAGAAATATGATTTCAGTTTGATCATTCCATCTTTTTAAAATATATATATATATATATATATTAAAAAAAGATGGAAGTGGGTACACTTCCAGTGGTATATACAGTGGGTACGGAAAGTATTCAGACCCCCTTAAATTTTTCACTCTTTGTTATATTGCAGCCATTTGCTAAAATCATTTAAGTTAATTTTTTTTCCTCATTAATGTACACACAGCACCCCATATTGACAGAAAAACACAGAATTGTTGACATTTTTGCAGATTTATTAAAAAAGAAAAACTGAAATATCACATGGTCCTAAGTATTCAGACCCTTTGCTCATTATTTAGTAGAAGCACCCTTTTGATCTAATACAGCCATGAGTCTTTTTGGGAAAGATGCAACAAGTTTTTCACACCTGGATTTGGGGATCCTCTGCCATTCCTCCTTGCAGATCCTCTCCAGTTCTGTCAGGTTGGATGGTAAACGTTGGTGGACAGCCATTTTTAGGTCGCTCCAGAGATGCTCAATTGGGTTTAAGTCAGGGCTCTGGCTGGGCCATTCAAGAACAGTCACAGAGTTGTTGTGAAGCCACTCCTTCGTTATTATATAAAAATGTCAACAATTCTGTGTTTTTCTGTCAATATGGGGTGCTGTGTGTACATTAATGAGGAAAAAAAATTAACTTAAATGATTTTAGCAAATGGCTGCAATATATATATATATATATATATATATATATATATATATATATGTATATGTTTGTTCTGGCCTCCTTGTTGAAAACCACTGGTAAGAGCATTTAAAAATAGAAGGCATAGATTTCTATATTGATTCTGACCTTTGAGCATTTCATTGATGTAATCCCTCAAGTACTGCATTCTCCAGTCATCACACAGTTCTGTGCACATCATCTTCTCTGATACACCATTTCCTGTTACGTATATAACGGGGTCTCCATACTGTGTCTAAGAATAGAGGGATTTGAGTCACAAAAGGCCAGTGTGCCATTTCTAGTCAGACTACTTGCCACAGGCTGGAAGTAGTTGTTGCATAGTTGTTTACAGAGATGTGTCAATGTACCTTTACAAAGCTAAGCAGACGGCGGAAGCCCCATGGCACAGAGTAGAGCCACTCTGATCCAGGATCAGGCCACTGTGGGTCTACCAGCTCAGCCAGGTCACGGTCAGTGAAGTAGCTGTTTGCATGGTTGGAAGGAAAGTTCTTTTGTGTGATGTAGCGCGTAGTGAAGTGACTGATACCCAGGAAGTCACAAGTGCCTCTGACATAACTTTTTTCGTGAGGGCTGAAAGTAGGCAGACGAGAGCTACTTAGGCCCTGCTGGGCACTCTTCCTACCTGCAGAAATGAAACACAGAAATACTTATGTAATAATTGTAAATTATCCTCAGCCCCAACTAAATAAGCCTATCATTTATTTATGGTTTGCTTGCCTATGTAGTCTTTCATTATTTGAGGATAGTCTCCATGGAAGAGTGGTGTAGCAAACCAGCCCAAGTAGAACTGGACATATCTTTCAGCGGCTTCTATATCGCGCTGATTGGTGATGTCCACTGGTTCTCCCCAGTCAGCTGACAGGGAGATGCCCACCATGCCTAAAATGGCAGAAACACTTGTACCTGTTTGGACCATTATGCCTTGACAGGGTAAAAGCTAATTTCAGTATCTAAAATTTGTCTACCTTTCTGTTTGTTTCGCCACTGGGCATCATATGTGTGCCAGACCTTAGCATGAGCCTGTCAGTGCAGCAGAGGATAAAAATTAGCTTCATTTCACTGCATTTGAATTTTTTATCAGAAACAGTGATTTTAATAGCTGATAAGTTTTTTTCGTAATAGTTTGCCATCCCTAAATGCATGCTTATTTCCATTTTTTATTTAGATTTAGCTTTTTTCTCTGCTGTTCATAATCAGAGCATTGCATTGCTAACTTAGCATATGAGATATTTCTGTTGCTCATTTATTATAGTTATTAGACTATAGTGGACTGCAGTGGATTTTGATCACCTTAATGATGTTGTGGGCAGCATTATAGGCACCAGTACCCCTCATCTTCAGACCAGGAGCATGTTCTCCAGTCTCATAACCCTCCACTGCAACTGACTGGAAATATGGAAGGATGTAAAAGTAGACTTTGAAACAGATAATATCAGACAATAACTACTTTTACCATTCTTACCCAAGGATTGTTGAAGGTGATCCAGTACTTGACGCGATTGCCAAATCTCTCAAAGCACAGATTGGCAAAATCATTGAAGAAATTGACCATACTGGCATTTTGCCAACCTCCATATTTCTCCTCCAGAACCTGAAAAACCACAGATATGATTTTAAAAGTTAAATCAAATTGATGTATATACTCTTTTTAAAGATGTGTACTCTGACATACTTATCATACAT